ACATTATGGCCTCTTCTTTGGCTTGTTACTCATTTATGTTTAAGAATATGACAGAAGTGCCATCTCTTAGTTCATCTTTAGAATAAAATTTTATGATGTGCTATCATTATGTAAGCATAGCATGTGCAAGTAATTATCATGGTGTTTGTGTTATACACTATATGACGTCATCTTTAGAATGAAATTTTATGATGTCTATCATTATGTAACCGTAGCATGTGCAACTAATTATCATGATGTTTTGCGTACTACGTAGTATACAATACCCGGAGTACATGAGGTGTATGATCTATGTGACTAACTGACTATGACTAGTATGTTACGGAGTACAATATTACAAAGACAAATTCTCAATATAGGTTTCTTCGCCATAGCTGCAGTTATACCTGGCAATCACTTCCATCTTGTGGTGTCATTGTCCTAATAATTGTAAATAAAAAGATGATTCTTTAGGTGCCCCACATGTTCCTTCCTTTTTGTTGTTGTATTTGTACCCGTTTTCCAAACACCAAGATTTTAACTTTTTTACTCAAAATATGTGAGGGATATTTTTGCTGAATTTCCTAAGTAAGTAAGTTAAAATTGTATTCATAATTAATCCAGCCACAACTTCAGTAATTTCAACATATTCAATGTTGCTAAACAGACTTTTAGTATTACAGTTATTATTATTATTGTTCATATTATCTCAAAATAATAATAATAACAATATTTTTTCATATGAAGCAGATCATTGCAGGTGACCCTGAAAATGTTACAGAAACATGGATGAGCAATGTATATAGTTTTGGGATGATATTATGGGAATTAGTGACGGGGGAGGAAGCATATTCCTCTTTTTCACCAGTGCAGGCTGCTGTAGGGATAGCTGCTTGTGGCCTAAGACCAGAAATCCCCAAGGACTGTCCCCAAATTCTGAGATCGTTGATGACCAAGTGCTGGAACAATTGCCCTTCTAAGCGTCCTCACTTCTCTGAAATTTTATTAACTCTGACCCATCCTTGCAACAGTTACAACACCAATACTACTAGGTAATGAATGCATGTTTTCCATCCTCTGTACAAAAATATACACTATAAAGAAGATCGTTGTTTTTCTTATTATGCCGGTGAAATAAAATTCTTCATTGTAGCGGAAACATTTCTTTGGTATTATAGCGAGAAAGAAATATAAACATTTCATCCATAGAATATGGAAGATTATGCCTTCAGGTTTTTATACACAGAGATTGAATGAATGAAAAAAGGCACAACTTTAAGACAGTATATGCCTTAATAAGGAGGGTTATTGATCCAGGACTTGAAGGATATGTTAACAATCGATCAATGAGTAATGATAGATGGAATTATGGAAACTATGAATTAGGGGTGGGCAATTCGGTTTACGGTTCGGTTTTCTTCGGTTTCGGTTCGGTTTCGGTTTATTCGGGTTGAGAGAATTTGTACCAAACTAAAACCATTTGTGTTTCAGTTTGGTTTCGGTTCGGTTTCGGTTCGGTTCGGTTCGGTTTGAAGTTCGGTTTACCAAAGTAAAAAATATTATGTTTAATTTAGTTTGGTTTGATTCGTTTGCTTATGTTTATTATTTTATTTGATCAAGTTCTATATATATTTTAGAATTAGAAAATGAAAGTAGTAGTCCATCTCATCTTTTATTAATTTATTGATTATTTAAATAAAATGTAACATCTTTTTTATCACTACAAAAAAATCACTTCTTACAAAAAATAAGATAGTTGATTAGCATTTATAATATCACATAAAATATTCAAAAAATCTAAAAGAGTCGGTGGTACAAATGTTGTAATATTCACAATTTTACTCAAATGAATCATGTATTAATATAAATGCAATTTGCTATTGTTATCGCCAAACATAATAAATACTCCGTACAAATATGTCGTATTAGCTAACTTTGTCATAATGAATGCATGAAATGTGTAAAAATTAAAATGATACGAGTATATGCATAAATATGTATTTTCATGTCTAAATGATTTATTTACATCTTAAAAATGAAGAGTGAAGATAAATACAAAGTGTATATATATGTGTGTGTACGTTGTTTGGTGTTCGGTTCAGTTTACGATTTTTCCGTTTTAAACCAAAGTACCAAACCATTCGGTTTGAGCAAATGTTTACCAAACGGTTTACTTAAGTAAACCCAAACCAAACCAAATCAAACCACCAATTTTAATAATATATGAAAGTTTTTTTGAGTTTCTTAGTTCGGTTCGGTTTTGTTCGGTTTTTATCGGTTTCGGTTCGGTTCGGTTTAATTCGGTTTGAAAGAAATAGTACCAAACTCAAACCAAATTGCATACGGTTCGGTTTCGGTTCGGTTTGGTACGGTTCGATTCGGTTAAACCAAACCGTTATGCCCACCCCTACTATGAATGATCAATTAGGCCCAGAATGATCAAAACTATTAATCAGATGAGGCACAAAAATGTCATAAATTAAAAAACTTTTTGTTTTTTATTATTCTTTTAGTGTTGATTTCATCTAAAAATTCTTCATGAACAAGGGGAATATGCTTCCTACCCCATCCCCCATTTTTTAAAGTAGGTATAACTACTCATCATCAGTACCATTCATTATTATCATTACCTCAGTGTCGCGAAGGCTCCTACATACGATAGGGTAGGAGTGATTGGATGTACGAAGTTTTACCCTTGTACTAAAGCACATAGAAATTGTTTTCGGATGATTCATAATGAAAAAATTGCATGGACTGACCGTTGTTTCATAACAAAAAAACATAATCAGTTTAGTGAGTCATTTTGCTTTATTTTATCATATTTTCAAGTAAAAAAATGGTGAATCTTTGGCTCTATTGCAAATGATGGAAAAACTACTCGATGAATTTTTAATACTCCGTATATACGGACTTGTATGTACTCCGTATATACTCGGTATATACTCGATGAATTTTTAAACTACTCCATATTAGTATGTGTTATTTTCACACTTGCCACCAAACAAAAAATCTGGCATCTGCTACTATTCAAATTCCCAAGTATGATAGATAAATTTATTAGAACTAATTAAAAAATAAAAAGGTTAATATTTTTATTTTCAAATTTAGATCGAAGGTTTCGATCATTCAAAACTAATTTTTCAAGGCAAAATCTTCCATCTGTTGATTATATTGAGGGCGGTTTGGATGTATGTAGAGTATCTTTTTTTCATTTTGGTTTTTTGCTGGTTTTATATTGAGGTTACCCTTCATGTATTGGAAAAGATGCATACAATACGTGTAAAACCTTCCCCTACAATATAGCCCTCACTTGTCACTGCCCGGTGTTGGTGGATTTAACCTGACGTGGAAATTCCAAATCTATAACTTGTTCTCATCTGTTTGGAATTACTATAAGTGTCTAAGTCAACTCAATACACCAACGAAGTCAACGGTCCATTATACACGATGCACGTTTTTCTTGCTTTTAGCTGTAAAAATAAAAGATTCAAGCACCTAGTTAAGGTTTTGTGGCACCGATAGATCTCATTTTCTTAGTTTCCTAAGCATTAATAAAGGGTGCATCCGAGAATTTAAAGTTTTAGATTGAGGTTGTAGGTTCCACTTTATATGATAAGTTGTATGTGTACTCGTGCACTCTGCGGTAAAATACGTGTTAAATGTTTTCTTAAAATTATAGAGGTTGTGAATTGTACGTGAATTAGGCAATTGGAATTTAAAATAGAATTGAATTGACTATGGATAATTGGATAGAGCTATCAAAATGAGTCAAAGCTATCAAAATGAGTCAAAGTCTGTAGGGCAAACCTATTTCAATTGTTGTTTTTTAACTCGATGAACTCACTCTCTTTCAAAAAAAACTCGATGAACTCACCGGTTTTGTGTATCAATGTGCACGGGTTAATTATATGTTAAGTGGGTTGATCCACGCAGGTTACAAGTTGGTCAATATACAAACATTTGATTTTCACTTTCATTAATTTCATTGTTGATCATCTAGTGCCAAAATCATTTACAATTATATACTTATTATTTTACAATCAATTTGATGAACTATTATGTCTATAATAGTTATTCAAATAAATTACTCCAACATATTTGTATGTTATAGTTGAAAACATTTTTTTAAACAATTAGCAGTCATTATTTACAAATATTTACTCAAATGATCTAATTGAATATTTATTTTTATATAATGAGTGCTTTTTCTATACACCATTTAATAGTTATCAAATTTTAGTGTAAGAATGATTTAATAACATTTTTCATTAAACTTATTAAATATTATGTACTTGGTATATTGAGAATGAACATGTAACGTTCAATTTGAGAATTATGTATTATGTGAAATTGAAAAGTGCACTACATAAACTAGAAAATGTGATGACGTTTTTGTAAATAAATTCAAATTTTTCCGCCCATTGAAATTGCTAGTTATTTAAACTGTAAGTGTGTGCCTCCATTAAATATAATGTGCATCATTTCAGATCATTATCATTTCTCACGAATAGAAGTGTTCCCACTGGAACCAGTCCATATATATACTCTAGGGTAATTATTTCCAAGATATTTTGTCATGTACATATTTTTAACATTGATCGACATGGCAGCAGGCAACCTATGAAACCCATATATTAGAAGATATGACCATTAGGCAGTTATACAGATATAAGTCATGAAAAACATAATTCACCACGGGTTTGGTATGATCGGGGAGTGCTAGCCAGTTTGACAGTGTGAAACATAAACTGCGAGGGAGGTATAAATAAATATGAGATAAAATACTGAATCTACATTTAAATATTGATTTAGCAATAATAAATAGATAAGTAATACCACATTTATCCGATTGAGATGGAGTCGTGTGCAATTATTAATAAAAGATTTATGTGATTAATGTTAAATTGGAAAAGACAAATACAATATAAGAATGATTGCTACACAAATATTACATATTTGGAGCTACACAAACTTAGTGAGTGTAAGAAAGAGGAAATGTGTGAGGAAATGCGTCCATGAACGTGGGCTCGCAGACCCAAACAAAGTATCCATTACAAAATATCCATGAACATAGCTTATAGTTTAAGACAATAAAGGAAGCACATATCACATCTTCCTTGAGATCACTTCACCTCGTGCAAAGGTGCAGGTAGCAAACTCTAGCTTCAGCCTGAAATGGTGGGGGGAGGGGTCAGTACGCGAATACTGAGCGAGAAATAGGCTAAATGTAGAATAATTAATGTTTCAAGTATAAGACCCAAACATAGGGTGATATATACGATTATAACTTTCCTCAAGTCTTTGAAATACAAAATACGACCTGTAAAACCTGTTTCAACAATCTAATCTTTACAAAATAATAAGCATGAATGAAGGTAAGCCTCTTTTAGGTATAAAAAATTTGTTGGTGGTATAGCATAGCTTACTTCACATGTACTATATGCTTAACTATTTGTGCGTTTTCCGGTATGTACATCTCCCCAACCAAACGTCGGCTGTCATCCGTTACCTCACATGCCCAACCCATAGTCCCCTGTTCCATCGTTTTTGTTTTCTTTATCATTTACTCAGGTTATTAACCGCTGCGGACGTCACTGGCTTGCATAAAGGCAGACGGCTCATCGCATATTCACATCCATCCCTGTCCTGCAACAGCCAATATAACAATCTATATCTCTCTGAAACGCTCACTCTCCTCTTCCGATAGGCTGCCTCGATCTCCCTCCAGCAGGCTAGCGGGTAAGTTTTGTAAATTTTACTATTTTTAATTTCAGTATTTAATAATCTGTTGGATGATTTGTTTATTTTTGAATATGTTATAGGTGAATGGATGGTGTGATTTCATTTTTGAATTGAAAATTAGTGATTGTAAATTTCTTAACACAATGGCATTTAACATTTTAATATGATAGTGTCGTTGAAAGCATGTCGGATTATCTCATTTTAGGGCCCCCAATCAAATCTGCTTTGGAAGTCTTTCTCAGGTAACCTTATTATCATTATCATTTGATTTGCAGCTAAGGTCTACTTGGCTATCCGGAAAGAATCCAAACTCATTCACTCCTTATGGTCATTTCAAACTTGTGTTTGTTTCCAGATCGAAGTGAAAGATGCCAAAATGCTATTGAGGCTGCTTTGAAAGTAAGATTATCTAAAATGCTTTTTGTGTTCTCCACATTTTGTTAATTACAGTAATTGATTTAATTTGCTTGTTGACTTCCTCTTTTGATATGAAAGTTCCATTAACTTAAATCCTTTGGGCAACCTTCATGAATACTTGGGTGACTTTTAATGTTAAGTTAACTCATAACTTCATAAGAATACAAGTCATATATGCCTTTTTTCTCTCAGTGGCCTGCATTTTAGGGGTTTAGATTATACTTTGAACTATATTCTTAAAACAAGTTTGACTTAATGTGTAGTAATTATCAAGTTTTTAATAATGGCAAATTCTACACACATACACAGAGAAGTCGAAAACATGGATATTAAATGTAAAATTGACTTAGTATACGAAACTAGTATAACAATAAATACGGAACAAATGACCCAGTGCGATAAATGAATAAAGAATTATCAGACTTACTACACAGAAAATTATGAGAAAGAAGAAAACTGCTAAATCTATGAAACCAAGCTCGCGGGGCTTGCTTAAAGCCATAAATGGCCTTACGCAACCGACACACATGATCAGGGTAGAGAGGATGAACAAAACCCCGCGGCTCACGCATATATACCTCTTCAGTAAGCTGGCCATGAAGAAAAGCATTTTTGACATCTAGTTTACGCATAACCCAGCCAAAAGAAACGGCTAATGTAAGAACAATACGAACGGTGGTGGGTTTAATGACCGGACTGAATGTCTCAGAAAAGTCAATACCTGCCTGCTGATTGAAGCCTTGAGCAACTAAACGCGCTTTATGGCGCTCAATGGAACCATCTGAGTGAAATTTAGTCTTATAAATCCACTTAGAACCAACCACATTTTTTGTGCTATCAAACGGAACCAAATCCCAAGTATTATTAGTAATAAGAGCATTAAATTCCTCAGCCATTGCCTCACGCCATTTTAAATTTTTATGTGCCTCAGAGAAACAAGTAGGATCTGCCTGATTAACAACTGTTTGCAAATTAAAAATTGTTTTAGGCTTAAAAATTCCGGATTTGGCCCTGGTTTGCATAGGATGACAGTTCGGGTGAGAGACAGGAGGTATGGTCGACAAAGGTGAGGAACTGACTGGTGAGCTGGCAGACTGATTAGTAAGAACCATGGTTAATGGAGATGAGGTGGCAGCTGTACCAGGTGGGCTAGAAACTTGAAACTCGGTTTCTGCTAAGGGGGAATCGTTGTGGCCGTGAGTGGAAGGAGTTTTTGGTGAAGGTGGTGTAGACATTCGGCTAGGCAGAAGATGGGTAGACGAAGAAGTAGCAGGACCTTGATTGGGAAGTGTGGTGTTGGTCGGAGAAGTGAGTGGAGGAGGTATTTGAGATGTGGTCCTAGGCATGGTCAAAACACTGGCTGGGGAAGCAGTATTGGGAAGACAAAAATCCGATGAAGGAGGTACAGACACATCAGAACCAACAGACTCAAGAGGAATACTACTAAGAGTGGGAAACGGAAAATTGTCTTCTATAAACCGAACATGACCACTAATGTAAACCCGACCGGACTTAGGCTCAAGACAACGATATCCCTTATACCCAGATGCATAGCCAATAAAAACACAATGAACAGAACGTGGTGAGAGCTTATTAGAGGAAGTAGCATAAATGTTCGGAAAGCAGGAGCAACCAAACACACGAAAAAAAGAGTAATCTGGGGCTTTATGAAAAAGTTTCGCGTATGGTGATACCCCGAAAAGAAGAGGAGTAGGTAATCGGTTAATAATATATGCAGCAGTGAGAATAGCATCAACCCAAAAGGTGCTAGGAATAGAGGCTTCAAGAAGCATAGTCCTAGTTAATTCAAGTAAATGTTTATGTTTTCTTTCAGCAACCCCATTTTGTTGAGGAGTATCAGGACAGGACTTTCGAAAATAAATGCCATGGGTATTAAAAAATTGCTGCATATTAGAATTAACAAATTCACCCCCTCCATCACTTTGAAAAATTTTAATTCTAGTAGTAAAAAGATTTTCAACTAGAGCCTTAAAATTCTTAAAGTGAGTAAAAACTTCATCTTTTCGATGCATCGGATACAACCTAGTAAATCGAGAAAAATCATCTATAAAGCACACATAGTATTTAAATCTCAAATTAGATAAAACAGGCGATTGCCAAACATCAGAATGAATAAGCTGAAGTGGTTCAAAACAGGAATGACTAGCATCTGAGAAAGGTAAACGTTGTGATTTGCCTAAACGGCAAGAAATACAATCATGAGAAAAACTAGAGCTACTACTAATGTGTTTTTGCTTATTTAAAGAATGTAAAATAGAATCGCCACAATGGCCTAGTCTACGATGCCACAAGACGCCTGGAACGGACACGGATGAGAGAGCAAGTGAAGATGGATAACTGAGGCTGACAGGATAAAGATGGCCTTTACTGGGTGCTTGAAGAAGGACCGCCCCCGAAATTTTGTCCTTAACAAAAAAAGAATTTTTATCAAAAATGACAATACAGTTGTTATCAGCACAAAGTTTCTGTATAGATAATAAATTAAATTTGATTTGAGGCACATGATAAACAGATTTTAAAACCAGAGGGAGACTAGAGGAAGATAATGGAATATCACCAATATTAGCTATAGATAATTGAGAACCATTAGCAACACTAACAAAATGTGATCCAGTATAAGGAAATTTATTGACTAAAATACCTTCTGATGGAGTCATATGGGCAGACGCACCGGAATCCGGGAACCATAAAGAAGCATTAGCATCGCTATTGGAGGTCATCAATGCAGGAGTAGAGTTTTGACTGAACCGGGACGGACAATGCATAACAGAATGACCTGTGGAGAAACATATCTGACAAACAACAGGCGGTGGGACAGAACCAAGAATACCCTCAGAAGATGGAAAGCCTGCAGTGCTAGAGTTAGTACCATAAATAAAATAGGGATTACTATTTAAAGCAGACAAAACAGATATACTAGCAGAAACTGAAGTGCCCGAAGAAGATGCAGCAGGAGGTAAACCGGGCTGGATCGGCGGACGAAACGGCTGCTGACCTCCCTGGACCGGCAGTGCTGGACCGAACTGCTGGCCGAAGTGTTACAGCTGGCCGGCCTGATGTTGTGGAACCTGATAGTGCTGGCCAAACTGCTGGCCATAATTCTGGCGTCCGCGACCTCTGCCTCGGCCGCGGCCTCCCCTTCCGCGACCTCCGCGACCGCGTGGAGCATATTGTTGCTGCGGGGGCTGTTGTTCAACCGCTCCAAAGGCCTGATGAACTTGAGATGCTTGTTGACGGTTGAATAAGACCCGTTGTTCGATCTCCATTAAACGAGGTTGCAATTTCTCAAAGGGGAATTGATCAGGAAAAAGCATAATGGTACCTATATAGGCTTCGTATTCGGGACCCAAACCACGAAGAATAGATTCAAGTAATTCTTTGGCTGAAACTGGTGACTGAACCGCAGCGAGAGGATCAACCAAATTTTTAATGTCCCTAAGATAACTGTCCATGGACTGATTTTCCCTCTTTTTAAGATTAGTCAATTGGCGCTTCAATTCCATGGCACGAGGTAAACTAGCAGACATGAATCGTGTTTGTAACCTTTCCCATATACCAAAAGAGTGTTTAAGATCATGTACGTCAACTAAGACATCACGAGTAAGAGTAGCAAACAACCAAGAGCGGATAGTTTGATCTACCCTTAGCCAATGATAGTACTCAGTATTCGGTACCTGACAATTATTGAGATCAACAGTATACATGGGGGGAACAGGGATAGAACCATCAAGCATGCCAAATAATCCTTGGGAAACCAAAAATGATTCAAATTGTGTGCGCCAAGTTAAATAATCCTCAACAGCTTTTAATTAAATGGTTACAATCTGACTAACATTAGAGATAGGAGACAAAGATTGTACCAATGAGGCCATGGGACTGCCAAAAATAGCAGATTCCGGAGGGCGAACCACTCCCGGAGACCCTGTGAAGGTAGGGCCGAAGAACTGTGAAGCCGATATTGAAGAGGAAGGCATGAGATGCTGCTGTGGTTCTGGGCGAAGGGTCTGCCATGGTAAGGACGAAAAACTCGGCCTAGGAGTCTGGAGAAGCGGAACAGTAGCGGGAGAAGACCAATCAACGGGCCTCCTTGGAAGGCCGGCTGAGACATGCCGGGGAATACACTGCTTGAAGAAAAAACCGGTGATGTAAGAAGAGTTGGCAGTGGTTGACATGGCGGCGCTGATCGAGAAGGGCGAGGAAGGAGGAACATCGATCGCTGCGGCGCTGGTCTCGACGATGGTGGCAGTCGGTTGACTCACGGCCGAGACAGGGGTGACGACGCAGGATGAGGTGACGTCGGTCATGGAGTGCAGCGGGAAAAAAATCTTAGGTTTTAGAATTGTAGGCTCGTGATACCATGTGAAATAATTGGTACAGGTTACCCTAATGAGGGTCCTGAGAGATGTATTTATAATAATAAATCAGTTTCCAAAATACAGAATGATTCCTAATTAATATTAGCTATTAATGAGACCAAACTTTTCCAACGTAAATGCATGTGTATGCTCACTAAAAATGTTGTAAATGTGGGCTAACTAATTGCTACTCTCTCCGTCCCATATTAAATTGCAAATTTGACTTTTTGGGTCAAATTGACTCATCATAATCACTTAATTAGGATATCAATTCTTAATTAAATTTTAATTTGGATTTTGCAATTTTCTAGAGATTTTAATGTTGATGGAGTTAAATCCAACTACGAGAGCTAAATATACGTAGATATGAGAATAATATGGCAGTGTAAGGCAGTTTTACTCTTTATTTCGGAGAACTAGCAATAGTCTAGCCTCGGTTCAGAATTTTATCGGGGGTCCGATCCCCTTCATAGGGTGTTTACATCAAGTATTTATAGAGATTGGGAAGTAGAATTATGGGAGGAATCTAATACAATAAATGCTCAATTAATGAACTATATTCTTGCTCAAAATAGAACTCTTCGATGCTTGATTCCCATACGATTACTTTCTCCTTTTAGTCGCCGTCCTCCGGATGAGTTCTGCCTGTTGCCAAATATCTATCAACGAGTGATAGCTCACCACGTAAGCCCTAGGAATATTCTGGCGTCACTAGAACTCTGCCCAGGCTCGAGGTCTGCTGTCCAGCTCGGCTTGGTGGTGGGTTCCTATCGTGGGCCTAATTCCTAATGGGCTAAGCGGCTTTCAATCATGAATCCCGTTTATGGGCTGATCCTGTTTTTAGGCTAATCCCTTTAAGGGTTGATCCCGTTTATGGGCTAATCACTGTAATTAGGCTGGTCCCGTTTATGGGCTAATCCTGTAATTAGGCTGGTCCCGTTAAGGGCTGATCCCGTTTATGGGTTGGACTACGTAATTGGGCCATGGTCTTAATCCATGGTACCATCAAATGTAGTTTCTAATTATGTAAATTTTAATTATTAAAACCGAATTAACTATTAATAAGGATGACGAGGAACAAATTGTGAGGGGAATTGGAGCACATTTAGTTGTATACACACGAAAACGAGGAATAGATTGGAACATATTATATCATTTTAGTACATGTTGAGTTGTGTTTGTAATGTGTCATTAAATGTAAGAATCTATTTAATTTAAGAATGTGTTAAGACTTGTTTAGTTTGAAGACATTTTTAATTGTGTTTGTAATATTTATTTAGTTTAGCAATCTTTATAATTATTATTCTCTTTTAATCGTCATATTCTTATTGGTTGATATGTTGTTCACATTTAAGTGTTTAAACAAGTATTCATAATGTTCCTATTAACTTTTCATCCATTAATTCTATGTTGTGCACACTTAAAACTATTTCACACCGTTGAGACTGTTACACGCATCGCAGCGGCCGCAGTGGCCGTTACCGTGATGACCGTTACCGCTACCGCTATTTAAAACCTTGGTCAAGCCATCTGAGGTCACATTATCAGTCACAATTGTTGTGTTGGGATACTGGTAACAATGACAAAGACGGCCGCTGTAAGATACAAGATGAATGTTAAATGATCACAGATCCACATGTGATGTTAAATCCTTTGATTTTTGGTAAAAATCTCAAATATATATATATATCAAGATGTAGGCTATAACCCTTCGGCGTCTTCCCCTACAAAACCCTACATCCAAAATGACCCTAAGAATGTAGGAAATAATTAAAAGGATCGGAAAAACTAGGAGGCTAGACTAGAATTAATATGAGGGAGAGAGCTCAATTAGAATAAAAGGGAATAACTCTTTTATTAGAAAAAAGGGAAAAACTGTTTTATTAGAAAATTTTCCTTGATATAAAATGGTGGTGGTGGTAGGAGATCTCTTTTTATACTCAAAGAAAATCATCTTGACTATTCTACTGAATTGACGATGTTCGAGAAAAATGCTAAACTGGGTGAGGATTCTGATGGTATTCAAGGTGGATCAAGTGATTCGGTGTTGGGTCTATTGGCCAAAAATATTAGAGATATTAGGTCACTTTTTGCTAATTTAACCTTTTCTCACTTGAGACAATTAGCTCATGTTATGACTGAGCTGGTTGGTTCTTTGCCTAATAGTTGTTTTTTGTGTTTAATTCCTCATGATTGTATTGTTGATAATTTAAAGTTTGACTTTGATAAATTCTTGTTAAGTTTGACCTTGCTAAAAAAAATTATTACTGCGTAGTAATTTTATAGTGAACAAAATGATCTTATTAGGAGCAATGGAGCATATTTAAAAAGATAGGTGTACAGTCATTGTTTTCAGGATGATCCGTACCGACCGTACGTAGTATGGAGTATATACTTGTGATAGTAACTGAGTATTAATTACATTATTTTGTGCAAACACCCAGAAAAATTGCTATCCCATCAAGTGAGGCGACAAAAATAAAGAGAAATATAATGACATCCATTTTGCACATTCAGTTGTTGAACACATTTTGGACTGAAATTTTAAAATGGGTAGCTAATTATAATGAGTAATTCTATTCACAGTTGCACATTTGCTAATCACACACACATACTTCCGGAAAAGATAAATGCTTTTTTATAATTCCTATTATGTCCTCTCAATTAAACGCAGACCGAATCGATTTATTTTGAAACTTCTACTCACATACCACTGCACTACCGCGGCCGCTAATGTTGCAGTCTGTTTTTTCACAACGAAGAAGAAGATGAAGGATTAGACTGATTTTGTAGAAGCAATGGTCTAAAATACAACAAAGTGATTCATTATTTTCATGCATGATATATATCATTCTCCTTCGATCTTGTTCTGTAGATGGTTCCATGGGATCAATCCAACAAAGTGATTCACGGTGATGAAAGTTTGGTGCTTAGTCTGATTTCCCTTATTTTTTCAAGGTGAAGCTCGAATTAAAATGGTAGTTCACTCAAGTCTCTTTATCCATGAAAATATGTAGATGTGCAGCCCGCTGAATAGATTTTGGTTTACTGAGGCTTTGAACTTTGGTCTCCTCTTTCTCCTTTGTTTCATGCAAAAGACAGAATTGGAGCATCAAATGTCCATGAAAAGGTGAAATTGATTTATTCATTAAAAGGTCCTTTAATCTTCTTGATGGCAGAACGAGAAGGGTCGTTGTATTAGGAGATATTCTTGATGGAAGAAGCGCAGAGAAGGATGCCGATGATGCATCGTCCACATTATTAATCCGTGAATTGTTATATACTCCGGATATTTGAAATTATTGTTTTATTAAAATTTAATTACGTGGCTGCAATTAGTAATTATGTGGCTATGAATAGAATTACCCAATTATAATTTATAACCATTTTCATTAAAGGAGGAAGGGGAGGCCTCGTGCCTAGGGTTGGTGCGGCGATTTTATCGATCGTCCGCGTTTTTCCTTCTCGTCGTACGGCAATAGCGCATCAAACGGCGGCTGTGGAAGATCGAAGCTGGAGTTCGGTGACTTGGGAGAACGATATGAAGCAGAATGGCACCAATGGAGTGGACGCACTTGCCAACGCCTATGGAATGTTGGATCTGGAGGAGGAGGACGAAATTCTCGTGGTCGCACCAATGATTCAGACCTCAGCGAAACTCAATTGGACTATGGTGGGGACCATTACCTCGGAAAAGTCGGTACGTTTTTCCCAATTTCGAGATATTATGGCGTCCGTGTGGAAACCGAAAAATGGTGTTTCCATAACTGAAATTGGTCCTAGGAGGTATGTTTTTCAGTTTTATAATGAGGAAGATGTCACTAGGGTTGTGGAGGAAGGTCCGTGGCTTTTTGATCAAAACTTAATTGTTATGAGTAGGCTTAAAGAGGGTGATATTCCCATGTCTGTTCCACTCAATAAAGCAGATTTTTGGGTCCAAGTTCATGATATCCCAGTGGGATATTTCACTACTGAGAATGCGGAACGCATTGGGAATTTTTTAGGAATCTTTATAAAAGTTGATGATAATAACTTTTCTGAGAATTGGGAATCCTTTATGAGGATTCGCGTTTGTATTGATCTGGGGAAACCTCTGAAAAGGAAATTGGTTTTGCAAAAAGAGGAAGGAGTCACTTTCCGTGTCAGGTTTTGCTATGAGAAGCTTCCTAGTTTTTGTTTCCTGTGCGGAATAATAGGACATGCGGAAAGCCACTGTCCACATAAGCAGCGGGGCTACGAAGTCACTGGGGAAAGACCGTTTGGTCCATGGCTTAGAGCTACAAAAGGGGCAAAGCAATGGAAGGAGAATAAATGGCTTGTTCCAGCAGGGAAAGGAATCAGTTCTGATAACAAGGCTACCAGTGCAAACAAAGAGGACGACATGCGACCAAGTACTGGGGAGGGCGGGCTTTCACCACACGAGAGGGGATACATTGAGCAGAAGCGAAGACGTGTGGAGGATCCAGCAGTGCACTAGAACGGGGAAGATATGGAGATGGTTCAGAACGAAGGAAAAAATGGGGAGGAGGCGAGCTACAAATCTGTAGCTCGCCAAGCAATGCAGTAAGAGACACTGATCCGCAGCTTCTAAAATTAAATAAGGCCGAGGGCCATGAAGACTTTTTTATTTCTTGTTGTTTTTCCTTTTATGGTACTCATGTTGCTTTTGTTTTCGTTTGGAACTCTAGTGGTAGGTTGGGGTTTACCTTTTATTTTTTGATTTGGGATTCTAATGTTGGTGGAAGCGATAAGGCTTATTCTAAGCTTCGAAACTCTCACATGGTTCGCGAATGGTCTCGCTCCTTCGAGGGTGGTCTATTCTAAGTCTAGCCAGAGAGTGGGAGGGCCTTTAGGCTATGCGGAGCCTCAAGAGGTTTGAGGAGGTTTGGCGTTACAGGAGAGGTAGTACTTTTAGAAGTCTGAGTGAGGAGTTTGAGCAGTGTAAGGGGGAAGTACGTTGCAGTCTTTGATTAATTTAATATAAGCAATTTCCTTTCAAAAAAAACCATTTTCATTACTTAAGTGGGATTGTGGGAATGATAATACGTAGGCTTGAAGACTCTTATTTACCGGTCCACATGATTAAAAAAGTCGTGTTGATGCAAAATATGGAGTAAAGTTGGTTGAAGACTCTTATTTACCCGTCCACAAGTACGACAAAGTAACATCCATCAGCCAAAGCATAAAAATTGAAGCATGTTTTCACCTTAGGGATACTTTATGTTGACGCAAATATATGATTCAGTATTTATCATGAATCTACTGTGCTGCTTAACGCATTCTCAAAATCTCAAATGAATCCAAGCCATCACTGAGTATGTGAAGATAAAAGAAGTTAACAATGAAGATAAAAGAAGTCAACAATGAGTCTGATTTATGCCTTTGAGAACAAAGTTGTTAAACAATGTCAAGTGTCGACATAGACATGGGAGTGAAAAAGGTCACTCAAAGTAACCGAGACGGAGACAAATAAAAAAGAGCTCGCTCTACTTGTAGTAAACAGAAACCAGGGGGATATCAATGTCATTATCATTATCATCCTCACAGGCCACCACAACATCCAAGTGGCGGCGATATGGCGGCAACTCCAGCTTGGCAACATCCCTTGCCAAGTCAACAATCTTCTTGTCCATCCGATCCCTGTGCCTGGGGAACATGCTGTTGTAAAGCAGGCAGCTACCACATGAGATACTGTACGCATTCAGCCCCTTCTCTCTCAACCAATCAATGAGCTGCTTGAGAGTCGGGTTGTCCTTGATAACCCATCGGTCCCAAACAGTCCATTTCATATCTCCATGCTGGATAACCTTTGGTGGAACTGGTTCAGCCATCGAGAAAAGAGGCAGTGCAAGGTTAGCAAACGTGTTGCGATAGTCTTCCACCTTGTGCCCCCCGGCGAGGACCTTGTACAGTTCAAGACAAACCAAGCCAGTAGCCATCGCAGTGGAGGTAGCAATGGCAGGAATAATCCTCCCAGCAATAAATTTGGCTTTCAGCTTGTCCACTTCAGGTATTCTGTAGTTTCTGGCCCTCATGTTAGCAAGACCAGCAATGAGATCCATATGGTAGTTTGTATCATCATCCTGCTTGACATAAATCAGAGTCCAACAATGAATAAACAAAACCATTTTCATGTGTGAAATACATAATAGATGCTTTATATATAAATGAAAAAACACAAAAACAATATAGGAGAGAAAACCCCACTCTTGGTCCCATAGGGTTATAAAGTTAAATTCAATTCAGGTCCCCAGCTTTTATATTTTTCTCACTATAGATGCACGACTATTGATTCCTAGTCATTTTTGGTCCTGTTATTATTTTGTGGGACAAGTGATCTGGACTGAGGTTAACAAATAAATCCATAGTCGTGCACCACAAGTAGAAAAATGCAACAGAAACAAAAATGAGTTGAGGACCAAACATGTAAAAATGGCCCTACAGTCGCGTGACCAAAAGTGGAATATTTTTCTTAAAGTAATTACTGGGACCTTCTCGAATTGAATAGGTTTCATCTTGAAGTCTGGGGGTAGATTCTCCCGACACTGCTCCAGCTTCCTTATGAGTTCGTTGATAACCACAGAGTCATCTATTGAAGCAGCTGAAAGACTGGTAGCCTTCTCATCTGTCACGATTTTCACACCTTCCTTGGGTTTAAACTCGGGGACAATGACCCTGTCAACAGCTTGAGCCAGTTCCTTTGGTTGTGTGGCCCAGACTGGGATGGGGATTCCAAATGTCTCAGCACGCAATATGGCAGCTGCCATGACAAAATGGAGATGGCTCTGATCTTTTGAAGAGAACTGCAGGGGTTGAGGAAAACGCTTGGGTGCAGACCAGAAAGGGGCTCCAGTACTTGTTGCAGCATCCTCAGGAAATGTGAATATCAATTGTTTGACACGGTTTGCAAAGTAATCTTCAAACCTGGGGGGGGGGGGGGTTAAGCTAGGTCAAAAGCTGCAGGAGATAAATCTTTAGGGTATGCTTTGATCCCATAAAATGTTGGGGACAGAGAATACAAAGGAAAACTGACTGGTTATGTTTGATTTAGGATGTTTTTACTTGGACTGTTTTCAATCCCAGACCAGAGTTAAACAGACCAGACTTCCGTAGTTATAAAATACAAAGAGACCAGACATTTACCAAACCAGTTCAACAGACAGGACAGACTAAACCAGCAAATTACAGTCCAAGTAAAAACATCCTAAACCTCAGCAAATGAGGAAAATGATACATAATTGCTGTTTTTTAATTACAGAATTATTTATATTTATTAGATTTCATATGATATACGAAGTACATCTATAATAGTAATATGAGTTGGAACAAATATTAAACCAATTTTTTGGGTTTGAATCTCTCTTTGACCACATATTTTCTTCCCCTGATGTTTTCTAGGGTTCTGAACGAACCCATCGGATCGGTTTGGACTGTTAAATATGGTAGGGAACGAAAAGGCTACCAAGACAAATGGTTTTTGATCTCATTAAATACAAAAGAAAAATTAAATTTAATTAACCCTGTGTTGGATTAATAAGATGCTAGGAGACGAAAAGAAAACGTAGGGAAGTTTGCTTCTAAAGCTTTGGTTTACCTCAAAAAAAGCGAAGAAAAATGAAACACAAGGAAGATGACATCTAACTAATATGTTTCACTGTTTCAGCTATCCACACATGTTTACATTTTTCAGTATATATACAACACATGAATATATAAAAATTTATGAGTCTTGTATTTATTCAGTATATATACACCCTTGCGGTGGGAACCTTCCCTGGCCATGCGGGGGCACCTATATGCACCCAGCTGCCCCTAATGAAAAAATAAAAAAGAAATCAACCTAAATTTAATATATAAATTTATTGAGTTTAAACCAAATCATTATTTTTTTTCCCTCCCCTTTCTTTCATCCCGAATCTCTCCTATATTTTCCCCCTATTCTCTTTCACTAGCATTTTCTGCATTCCATACAGACACTAAAGCTTTTCAGAACTTTTTAATATACAAAGTAATGAATGCCAAATACTCATTTATTTAGTTCAAAGCAATTTTGTATTATCTAGCATTTTAATCCATTTTACTTTAGCAATTTTCAAAATTCCGAACGACACTTGGAAAAGCAAGAAAAGAAGCACTTCATAAAGGTGTTAAGAGATTAAAAAGGGGGAAATGTTGGGTGCATACCTGTGGCGTGCCCATGAAATGCAGTCTTCAAAGGTTTTACATCTTTCCTTGTCAAGGCACTCAAGAACACGTTCCAAGTTGTCTCTTGCTTGAGCATCACCAGATTTAGTCTGTGTAGATGTGTACTCGCTCGGATTAGTGAGATAAGCATTTGCTTCAGCTGGTGTCTTTTCAAGCAGACCCTCAAACTCTGAACGAGCCCAAGTCAAGCAATGGTCAATGTTGTGCGGAAAAGAGTGCACAGTGCACATTGGTGCTTGTCTCTCCGGAGGATCACGTGATGCACCATAGTTTTCCGTCAGGTGTGGGATGACCATTTGAGTGTTACATTTGGCACCAAGAGTTCCTGACTCAAGAAGTGGCTTCTGGAAATACAAGCATCTTTGATCAACATAAAGCCTTGCATTAACATTGTCAAGGGCATTCACAACAACACTAAGATTCTCCCAAAAGGTATCATCAAACACGTTTTCAGTCTCGGGACCCACACGGTTCTGGAGAGCTTCAATATTAAACTTGGAATTTATTGATGTAGCGGCAACAGCAGCAACAGTAGATTTAGCCTGGCCAATGTTCCAATCACGGAAGAGAAACTGTCGGCTAAGATTACTTTTCTCTATCACGTCATCATCAGTTACTGTTAGCTTTCCTTGACTGCTGCAAGAAATTCCCATGAGAGCTAAGTTCTTTAGAAACTCACATCCCAATGCACCAGATCCGACAACAAACACTGTGGCTTCTTCAAGCTTCTTTTGAATTTTTTTCCCAAAAACTGAAATTTGTGCATCATACCGACTATTCAAAGGCATGCAATCAATAGCTTCCAGTGTCTCAGTTGGAAGCGACTCCACTGAGTCAAAGTAGAAGAACTGCACATTGATATTTGAAGTAAAACAGTCAGTTTAATCAAACACACACGGAAAGAAGATTAGTACTTCTATAACTTTTACAGTTACTTAGGCTTTGTTTGCAAACAATTAATTTAAGTGCTTTTGGCTTTTTTTAAGAAAAAAACACTTATTTTACCAAACAATACCAACTTTTACTTTCTCGATTTTCGTGCACAATCTACTTTTTACTTTTTCTATTACACAAAAAGCACTTATTTTACCAAACACTACCAACTTTTACTACTAATCACTCTTTCCCAAAAAGTGCTTTTATTTAAGCACAATCACTTGCAAACAAAGCCTTAGAATTTTTAGCATTTACATGATAGAAAAAATAATACAATGAATTCTACCCTATCTTTTATTTTTACCCAAAATTTAGTTCTTTCCAACTTTTCCCTCTGTTATTTCACAAGTATGTATTTAAAGCATTTTTTGGAACTCGGATGAGTAGATGAGTAGGTACAGGAAGACCGAGTAATGCACCTGTTAAACGAGTTGAGAGGTGGATTAGAGGAATCGGAACTGATATACTTCTTCTTGAGTTGGATGAAAGTATGGTTTTAGAGAGAGCAAGCTGGAGGGCAAAAACTTGTGTGGAGGATTGATCTCTTTTCTCTCTCTTATTCTTATCTGTTCATCTGCTTAATCTTTCTTATGTTCTTATGTTACTTTTATCTTTCTTATGTTCTTTTATCTTATATTTATCTTTATCTTTTCCTTTTTATCTTACCTTTTTTATTTTCCTTATCTTTCTTTCTTTTGTGGCTCCGAGATACCATGGATCGATTTATGTTAGCCAACCCCAAAATCTTTTGGGAATAAGGCTTGGATGTTGTTGTTGTTTGGATGAGTGGGTAAAGGAAACTGCTA